GGCAAGGAAGTCTCAAAGTGTCTACTTTAGATGTACCTTTTATGGGTTTCTAGCCTCTAACAAAAAGTTACACTTTTTCTTTTCTGTGGATACTATGTATTTAAAAGGGGCTTTTATTTCCTTCTGTCGATCTTCAAATTTTATATTTATTTTTTTAGCTATTGCAAAACAATTGCATTAGCCTTAGATACAATAATATGACTACACTAAAAGGATTCAAGTGAACTATTCATTTTCACATCTGTAAGGACATAACCAGGACAGTTTGTGGTACAAATCTTACATCTTGTGTAAAGAATGTTTTTCTTTGCAGGCTTGTCTTTTGTGTTTAATTAATTCTTAATTTTACATTTCTTGTGGAGATCTGGCTGTTCTCAATATATTTTTGAAAACTATATAAAACATTTAAAATGCAATGCAACTTTCATATACAATGCAAGGAATAAATGAAATGCAAATTTCAGTAAAAAAAAGTTGTAAACTTGAATTATAATTTCACTGTTTTGTTTTTTATTTCTTACAAATTAAAAATTCTCAGTGGAATACATTTCTTATATTTAAATTTATATTTTAAATTTGAAGAAATTACCAGAACAAAGACTTCATTTTTATCCGTTATCTGTACTGTAGGTCCATACCTCTGAGAACAATTTAAGGTTTTTCTATCTACTGAAACAAACATATAGCTCCAATGGCAAAAGACTTATGAAAATATGATGGTTTTAGAAAGTGTGCGTACCAGATATAACAGTCATCTTCCTTTTAGTCATTGAAAGCCATGTAGTTTTAGTAAAGAATGAATTTATTGACTTTAGTTAAAAAATGAAAGGATTGTTTTGTTGAAGAGATGCACTACTAACCTTCTGTGTTCCATAATAACATTGGAGTTAAGGTGTGTCAGATTTGACAAGAAATGCTGAGCTTTTAAACAGTATTTTAATTTCAGAACATTTTTGAAAAAACCCTCTATGGATATTCGCATTTGAAGTTGTATGTACAGTAATTGGGCAGAAATATCCATTTCAGTCTCTTCAGTACTGCTGCAATTATTCCAGATCTCTGTCTAAATGTTTTGACCAGTTCTTCCTCATTATTTCATTTTTACTAGATTAGGCTGTATCTATACACAGAAGATAACACTGTGTTACAAAAAAGCACTATATTCGAGTCAAGACTAAAGATGAGTCAGCCTTTTTCTTTCTTTCTTTTGTGATAAGCATTTTAAACACAAAAACTATGTGAGAGCAAATATCAACACTACCATCAACAATACAGTACTGTACCAATACAGTCAGACAACTTTATCCAAAGCTAATTTAATACAGTTTAATACACATAAATATAGAACACACTCTACAGTATGTTTATTTTATATTTTAAGAAATTAGCATATTTCTAATAGCTGTGGAAATCCCTTCCCAAATTTGGATCGTTTTAGGATTTGCCTTATTAATTCTGGCAGATGTAGAGTCAGCCTTTTTCTGAGACAAGACTGAGTAAGTGGCATTTTAAAACAATTTTCACATTGCTCAAAATTCAAGGGAGCTCTGTGGAGGAAAATGGGGAAATTTACTTGAAAATGTCACCTGCAGATGTCCTTCAACAGAAAAGCCTGGGAAGGCTGCTCTCAGCATGATTTGTGTTTTACAGCCTCAGGGTCTGCAATGCAGCCTGATTGATTGTGACAAACAAGATGTGAGTGCTGACACTTTCCCTGAACAGAAATGGCCTTCCTTCACATGCAATCCTTAGTCATCCACAGTGAAACAGATAAAATGTTAAAAACAGCTGCATTTAGACTCTGTTCTTACATTATTCAACCCTTATTTTTTCATATCTTTGTTCTTCTAACTGATAGATCTAACAGTTCCCCATTCTTCTTACTGTCAAGTTAAGAGTTTTTATTCCAGGATTATTTTGATTATAAAGTATTTTTTTCTTAATTTTTCATTAGGGTAAAATAGAAAATAAAAAAGGGAAATGAACATGAACAATCTAGGAATATACAATAGAGTTGCCAGTTTTGGAACAGTTCTTTGCTCTTTATCCATTTTTTTGCACTGGGCTTTTGACCAATTCTATTTGTCTGTTGTCAGATTAGTGGAGCACACTGACTGCATGTTCTCACTGTAAGCTCCAGGCGTGGATTCTGCTGGTCTCCTACGTGGAGCAGATAATCAGAAAGTTTTTGTAGTGTACTGTATGTCTTACTTTCTGCATTTGTAGGATCAGTGGACGTTCTGTACTCTGCGTCTCCTGCACGGATGAATTGTCTCCCTGTCTCAGATGCATTTGGCCTGGCCCTGATATAATCAAGAAACCTGAAGCTGGTTCTGTTCAGAATGCTTTATCTTAAGGTCACTTTATGCCAGTAGCACTAAGCAGTATGGAATGACAATGCCAAGAGATCCCCTGGCTAACAGAGATAAAGCAAATTAAATATTTTGAGGACTTAATACTGTACATTAGTTTGAATATAGACCAGGAGTCATCTCTATTTTTAAGTCTGCCACCATCTTTTATAATTCACCCTAAGTGTATTGCATGTGATATCTTACACTATATTGTTAATAAAGCATTTTAGAATCAAACTGGGAAATTCAGCCCTAATAATAATTGTAATAATAATATTATTTTAGAAGATATTTGAAACATAAATGACACACAAGCCTGGGTTTTTAGTGTATTTAAAATGTTGAGGTCTACATGATAATGTCAAATTGATTTTATATTTATATGTTTGTTTTTGATTCACGTATCTTTCCTTACTGGAAATTGCCAATGTATTGATTGCAGTTCGTACTGGGGAGAGACAAACTTCATTGTTTTTTTTTCATTGTTTAATAACTTAATAAACATAAAGTTTAAAAAATATTGAGGTCTTTTAAATATATCATAGCACCCTAAGAGGCAACATTTGTTTGTCAGCTCTCCATTCCTTGAAAATGTTTTTTTTTTTTGTATTTGGGGATTTATTTGTTTTTTTATACACAAATATCTAGTCATCAAACTTCTAATTAATGGATGATTTTTATTTATTCATCATCATTTTATTTATTCTACTCTGTACCTAGGATATTGTTAAATTCATTCAACTTTCAAATTTTAAAATACTTTCTGTTTAAATGTTAATTTCTCAAAAGTGAGCATAATTATTAATTTTTCAGCTGTCCTTGTGTGTTTATATTGTGTGTGTATATATAATAAAAATCTAAATATTTAAATGTAGTTGCTAGGTGATCTGGAAGTGAGGTGAAGTTGCTGCTAAGATCTTACAGGGACCTCTCAACAACAGTATGGTTCTTCCCTTTCTGAGGAGTGCTTTACAGTGGCTGGCCATAGAGTACTGTACAGATTTAACATAACAGCCACAATATAAATCTATCATCTTAACTATAAAGCAAGACTTTGATTTTTGTTGTTTTCCTATGAGTATGAAAAAAGATAAAAATGAAACATCTACATAAGTCTTTCTTGTAATCAAAGTTTTCAAACGACACGTTTTATTTTATGATTTTTTAAAAACCAACTCTGTGAGGACCAAACTAAATCCTGGAAGAAAGAGGGCTACCATATGGACCCAAGACCATCATGTCTTCCTTATCCATCTGCGTGAATTATTTTCATTGCGCAGCGACTACCAAGAAATATTGGGCAGAAGTAACCAGCAAATCTACAGAATGGCTGTAAATTGTTGTCTGTTAAAATGAGCTGCAAGGGGGTAATGCTGAGTGCTGAGAGATTAAATGTATGGTGAAATCATGGTGATTGATAAGCTTAATGGTGTGAATAATTTGGCAAAAAACAAGAATGGTTTTGGTGCAGATTGCAGGCATCCTAATTGCTCAGCAACACATTGACAAATTTCTTCATCTTACAGTTTTTACTTCTTCTTTAAACAATCAAGAAGTTTTGATTTTTGAGACGGACAATCCAAGACCACACAGTGCCAAGTTATAAAGGCACAGCTTCAAGAAAAGTATGTTGAGATGCCATCATTATGAGGTTTTTGTCCTCACTTGAATCCAGTAGAGATACTGTACAACTATGATTGACTAACCTTTTAAAGCTGAACGCAGATGCACAAGTGGGACTTCCCCAGAGACTGAAGAGGTCTATGGAAAAGTGCTTTGATTCAGTGATATGATTGTGTTAATGCTTATGGAGGTCAAACTAAAGAATAACATAATGACATTTTGCCATGTTTCATACTGCACATTCATCATTTCTTGCCCTGTATTTATGCTCACATTTTCAATGATTGTCTGTGATATCTATGTTTAAAATATTTTATTAAACCCAATAGATCTGGATGTTGAATTTATTTTGTGCATTCGTATATGTACTGTATCAGTCTATAGACAATTTCAATACTACTCAGCTATGATTTTGCTGATAGTATGTCATTTTAAACTACTCCAGTAAATATGGGAAAGTAAGTCGTTTAGAACTTCTAATAACTTTTATCTCAACTTATCAAGTGTAGACACCAAAAGACAGCTGAGTTTGTGCCTCGTATTGTAACAACGATGAATTTTATAGTAACAGGAGGGAAGTCTATTCACTCTTATGCAAGGACAACTGAGTATTATATAATAAGATTGCTCTGACTGACCTTAAGGCTGAATCACCATAGTCAAAAATTCAAGCAAGGAGGCACAAGTATGATTTTATGTCTTTGAGCCTGGGGGGAAAATATATGTATATATATTGCTGTGCTTTTGTTTTCTATCATATCTTTTTAATGGCAGATATTGTCTGACATTATTTATGTAAGCAAAGGTCTGAAAGTAATCCTAAAATCTCTGTTTATTAAAAGCAGAACAGTGTATACTATTCTTCCATATGGGCATGGTATACAAGGACTCCAGTAAGAAACATGTACCATATAGGCTGTTTTGTCATTTGAATTCCAAGTTTGGTCTAAATGCAAGTACTCTACTTAACGTGTGACACTGCACAGGATAAAATGAACGCCTGTGTGTCTTTGTGTTCCCCAGAAATCTCCTGCAAAGAAGCTAAGCCATGCGATAAGCAAGTCGCTCGGATGTGTCCCCAGCCGAGAACCTCCGCATCCTGTGTTCCCTGAACACCCAGAAAAGCCGCTTGACCTGGCGCATATAGTGTAAGTACTTACAGTACTACCTTCAAGTAAAGAGATGCTAACCGAGTCTCATGGGATACTTTAATTTTCTTACTGTGCATCTAGAGCCATGGAGTTAAGGCACAGATTATTCAAGTGTCTGCAACAACCTCCATGTCGATATAATATCTCTCCCAAAAAATATTAGCTTACAAAATATGTCAGAGTCAGAATAATCCTTTAAATCGCATGGTAAAAGCTGAATAAATCTTAAAAGAGGATGCTTGTGAATCAGTCCTGTAGTAAAAACAGGTTAAAGCATAACACAAACCAAGATAAGTCCTAGAAAAAGAAAGCCTGCAGTATGTATGACTAAGGCTACTATACCTGCTTTGAACCGCCACAAGAATCTTAACCAGGGGAAAAAATATGATAACAGCTGAAAGTTGCAGATGAAGGAAATCCATCATGGGGGATTATGCTGCTAGGTGGTTTGTCTTTTGTAAATCTGTTTCTTCTGAGAGGTTTCAGAGACTCATCACTCCCTTAATGTTAAAGTATTTCCTTTGGCCCTGTGTTCCACTGAACCTGAAGGAGTGATTGAGGCTGACATTGCAGTCTCCTTCATTTTATACTGTAGGTCTCCATCAAAACATGAATAAGCACAGAGAAATGGTAGAGGAAAACAATGTTAGGAGAAGACAGCTTAGGCCAGATTTAACTGAAGTCTAAAATAATAAAGAGTATTAAATGAATTAATGGAGATCACCATTTTAGTCTCAAGCTAAAGTCAGACCTGCAAAGGCAGTCTAAGGCATGAATAATAAACTTTCATAGAAGAGTCACAATGTTAATGATAGGTTTAAGAACAAAATACAAAGACCTCATGTTCTTGTGAGGATAAATACCCAAAAAAAACATCCTTGTATAAGATCTGCAATTTAATTTTTTTATTTAGCAAGTGATTTGGTTAAATTTATTGTGCTCCTCTATACTTTTATTGTCATTAGTACTGAACACACCAGTATTTCACATAAGGAATTCTATAACAGAAGTCATTCTTAATTAGAGGGATCAAGGGAAATGTGTCCCAATCACCATTAGCGGTGCAGCTAGAGTTCAGAAAGGCATTTTAGGAACAGTTGCATTTATGGTAGAATTTGTTCAATATAATATTTAGGGGACCAGATGAGTATTTTCACAAATCAAAGCTTTTGATGTGTTTATTTGGAGAAAAAAAAACTTTTGTTGTTTTAAAATTCCTCAAACAGAAAAAAAAGAAATCTGTGGACTCTGTAGTCAAGGTGAACAATTACGGTTGTGCTTCACTCACAGCCACACTCATTTTACATTCCCTCTCCCTTTCTGGTGTTCCACTGGCCTGGTGTGTGTCTGCAGTCTTGGCAAAGGCAGGGCGACTTTTTCTTCTCCAACAATTACCTCACTTTAAAGTCAAGAAGACATAGCTGGTATATTAGTATAAATCACACAAGTACAGTAATTAGAATTAAACACTATTTGAATTAATTAGAGATCATCTGACATCTTTTGACATCTTCACCTTTGTATCAAATATTGTTTGGTATCCTTTTTCCAAACTAAAAATTATGTTAAGTTTTTGTTTCATATGGTAGCTATTCTAGATCATGTGAGTGGAAAGAAGCGGGGTCATTGTCCTTAAGTTCCTTAAAAGCTTTTCGAAATATAAGACATTTCTATAAGTCTATAGGGCAGTGTTATGTTTTCACAAGGAAGACAGACAGCAACTTTCAGTGTTTTTTTATGACAACAACTGAGTTTTGACCAAGTTGAATCCATTATTCAGTTTGAATATTTAAAAAAAAAAAGCAATTTATTACTAAATCACTTGGTGGAGCCTTTAAAAGTGAAGCAAACATTTCATGTTAATAACTGGAAGTGAGTCTCTCTGTTGCCTGTATGTATAGTACACTATGTTGTAGTGTTACTTATTTACTGTTTACTGCATGTTTTTTGTCATGCAAAGAATATCTCACCCATGCTCAAAATAAAAAATGCTGCTGCCATTTGAAATTAAGGAGAGAGGCATATTATGAAAATAAATGATTGGGATGTTTCCTTTTAGGCTTCTTGAGCTCAGTATAAGTGCTAGTGTGCATATTCAGATTATTTCTACCTCCTGAGTTAGAAATTTGTCTATATACCTACAGTATATAAATGTATTCACCTATTTAGAAAAGTATGCCTGCATTAATATATGTTATAAAACATTGTTATTTTTTTAAAACTCTTAAAATGTAGGGTTTTCAATAATTTCAGAATTTGTACAACAGTCTACAATTTAGGAATCTAGTGGGAATAGGAACTATGGTTTAAGTAACAATTCTGGAGATTTTCAGCACAATCTTCCAACGCAGTATTAGTGTTAGGCCTTACGCTATACAGAATTTCAGCACTTTGAGGTGAGCTGAAGGCACACTGAGCATATTTCACTTGCATGTCACTTTAAAAAAAGAGCAAAAATGAATTCTGTGTACTTTCATTTCACTTTTCTGACATATACTGTACTTGTTAAGATTTTAGCGCTGATAGTCCCACAGTGACAACATGCGGGTTAATGTCCATTAGAGGAGTGATTCAGATCTACAGTAACTGAGCTCACTGTAAACCTGAAAATTCCTAGCAGCTCCCAGTTGTAGAGATCATTGTGCTCCTCCCTATGGGGAACTCCAGACACAGTCAGTTAATATCACACTTCAGATACTGTATCTGGGCTGAAGGGCACGGCTTGCACTCTGATCAATTTCTGTTTCTTCAGAAAACACCCTGTGGGACAAGTGTGGCTTTGTCCCTTCCTGGATTCAAGCATGCCTTCTTTCAGAAATCTCTGGATCCAGCACCACACAACCCCACTCCCCAGGCCGATCAGATTGCCAACACACAAACAGGCCAGGCTGTCCATGTTCTAAGGGTGTGAAGTCACCTTCTATATATAGGCTCAGTACAGACTGAGCCCTGTTATATTCTCCATCTCTAAACTCTTCCTCCTCCTGCAGCACCATTTCTGCATGAACCTCAGTGACTGATAAGCGTCAGACTTGGTGATCAGGGCCATAACACCAGTGTAACTTATCCAGCTCTGATCATAAGTGCTCACCTGCAACTTTAGCTTCAGAGCCACAAAGCACCACTTCCCAGATAGCAGAGATATCCTTCAGTCTCCTTTTTGCTATGGCAAAAGGCAGGCCTCCCGTTTCTCATGAGTTTGATGCTGTTCATGTTCCAAAGATTGACACCACCTTTTGTAACATAATACTTGAATAAAATGAATAAACCCTGCAAACATTTGCCTCTTACCACTGTATAGCTGTCTGTCTGTGTCATCATATCTTCTCACTCCTGTTGCTTTTTGGAGGAAGAGTTGTGTGCTGATGTGAGTCTAATCACAGGTTCTGATCGACTGCCTTTTGCTGCAATTTATCATTTTCTGCTCACAGGTGCACAGTATTTGAGAGCAGGAAACCTGCTGTCTGATTTAAAGAAACATTATGGGAATTGTAGGCCATTGTGGTTGTGGTGTGATCCCCAAGTGACAGCAGTTAAAGTTCCCTACATAAA